GACGAACAGCTGGAGCCTGTTCCCAGCATGCACATGCGTAGAGTGGCCAGATGAAGGGAACAGCTAAAGAACAGGGGTTAATTTTGGAGCAAGGCCACAGGTGGACAGTGAATGGCCCCTCCCAGAGGAAATGAAAGAGGAGCGAAAGGAGAGAGGAGTGTGCAGGAGACCATTAGTTCGCTTCATTGGTTTGTGATTTTCTGACACTCCTTGCCAAGTTTTGCAGATATCGGCCTGGCAGCCCTCCAAGCCAGATAAGGTCTGTGACTGTAAATCCTCCCTTGAAAGACTTTGCTGGATGTGAATGAGCAGAATTCATAGTAAATTAATAAAAGGGTCTTTTTTTTGGTCGGGACAAGGAGTTTGCTTCAGGCTCGTGGGAAGCCTCGGTCAGAACAATAATGTACCTCTGCATACAGATCATCCTCATTTAATGACCTCTCATACAGCAATTGTTCTGCAATCATGTGTCCAGCATGTCATCGCACTGTGGTGTAAAGCATATGCCAAAACACAGAACGCTGTTATTTTCCCACCAAAGTGGTACCTATTTATCTACTTGCAGTTGCATTGCTTTCAAACTGCTAGGTGGGCAGAAGCTAAGGCAGGAACGGGAGCTCACGCCATCACATGGTGGCAGGACTTAAACCGGCAGAGCACAGACATTCTCCCCTGACTTTAAGCCACTGGGCCACCATGCCTCGTACATTATCTCCAATTCAGCTATATATTTTCTTTATTTACCTATTTGATTTATATAACCTCAAATCCTAAATTCACTAGAATTCCATTGGTTCATACCTTTTGAGCAACACAGTTCAACAGTACATTGGATCCAGAAATTCCAACAATTTTTAAATGATTAATAACAGAGAAATAATTTTTTAAAAGTGATGCGAGAAATGAAAAGGGTGTTAAGATACCATATAAATGACCTCCGGGGTATTATTTGACAATGTGGGAAATAAATATACAGGCTAGAGTGAGCCTACAGCATCTTTTGGAGTCTTGGACAGCAAGTAAAAATAAATGAAATAAGGAACCAAGATAAATGTTTGCAAAGTCCTCTCCTAGATCACTGGGACCAAAGCAATTGCTCAAGCAGATCAGGCGCTAACACCCATTTTGGAGACCTTCCAAAAACATTTAATTCAACACTTGAAACTTCACTCTATACATCCTTTGGTGGTCTGTCCTAACCTGATTTAAGAGGAAACCGTGAAATTATGTGAGTTGGTTTTTGCCTTTAAATGACCAGACTATAAAATATACACTGAGCAAGTGATAATGCTTCTTGTGAACGTCGAAGCTCTAAAGACGTCCTCAATGGTTTGTAGCCACGTTGTAGGTAAGAGAAGTTGTTACTGGTACTTGTAGTTCCATATTACTCTTTAAGATTTATTAAGAACTAATTGATAATCTGGCGTTGCTTGGGTATTTATTTATAGGGGGAAAATGTCCGGACCAAATGTAATGTCTAATGTTGGATTTTCCTACTTACCAGAGGGAGCCCCCTTGTGGAGTACTGTGAAGCCATTACCAGGGCAACTCCACTGCACTGTACCGTAGAATCCATTTTACGGCAGTACAGTAGAAGCTATTTTAAGGCACAATAGGCTGTATCTTAACGGAACACACCCCGAGGGGTGTTACGGGTGTCTTACCTCCACAGTATTTGTTTCCAGAGAGTAAGTCATCTGTGTACCAAGTTTGGTTCGCTCCAGAGCTAAGATTCCGCTTTTTGTAATACCACTACAGTTAATATTTCAGATAAAGGTTTAACCATTCTGTTTTGTCTGTCCTCCCAATTATTATTATCTCTCTTTAAAAAAATAATAATTTTACTTCACATCTTTTTGAAAATCAATCTTAACAACACACACTCTTTTCTTATTAGGCTATAATTATATGTTTGTGTGTATCCGTGTGTGTGTTGTTACTTAGATATTTCATACAAATAATTTTTAAAAATGGATACTATCTTAACTGCTTTGCCCTAAACTGTAAAATAGTAAGGTAAATTGAAGAAAAGAGAGAAAGGGAATAGGAGAGAGAGAGAGAGAGAGAGAAATGGAACAGGAGAGAGAGAGAAAGAGAGACAGAGACAGAGAAATTGTAAGAAATGGATTTGGAGCAGCATGCTGTCTTAAAACAACCTCACAATCCTGACCAAGGAGAAAGCAACGCCACGGAAATGGACCCTACAAAAATTCATATCGGCTGCCGTCAGGCGCAGAGTGGATGGCTGGTAATGGGAAGGTAGG